GTCAAGTTATATTTGAATTTTTAATCAAATTAAACTATTTTTATTAATAATAATTTTTTTGTCAATTTTATTAATAATAATTCTATTAAGAAAAATTTAAATGTTTTTCTAACATGCAAAGTGGTCCATTTTTTTTTTTAATCTTGTGGCATTATAAAATTCATGATCGGCTCTAAACACACTTATATAAAAAGGAAGGAGAAACAAAAATGTGATAAACTCATATTTCTTTTCTTTTACAAAAAAAAAAGAATATAGAAAACTTACATTTTCATCTAGATAATTGTTTGGGGAAAAAGAAATACAAATTAATCCATACAATGTGAAGATACTATTGAACCAATCCTCATTACCGGTCTAACTAAATTGATTAGAGGAAAGAAAATTAAAGAAAAAGAAAATTAACCTAATTTTCCTATGTACATGCAAAAAAAGGAATCATGTGAAGTACACGATAGGTCTCCATGAGACTCGCATTAATTTTTATTTTGGATACCAAGAAATTAATCTCTACTTAATAATGATCATCTATACTTATAAATGAGAAGTTGCAGATCCTACGTGGCGATTCCAGAGTGTGTTTAAGAGTTGACTTGACGATATTACCCTTAATGAATTTACCTAATTACATGTCATACCATCCCTAAATATCATATTTGGGCTGTTATAATCGTAATCTGGTTTCTGATAATTATCATGTTTGAGCCCATTTGGTACTAAAGCCCGTGAGTTCGCGTCGGTTTCTTTGAAACCCTAAACATTGATCTAGGTTTGTTTATAAATACTAAACTGAGTTTTAATACACAACGTGAAAGAGTTTAGCCTAGGTTTTCGTTTAGTATTATTTTGATTGGCAATGATTAAGCGTTCCATCTCTCCCCTCTTTTATACTTTTCTTCTGATTTCATAACACCTAAACAAATCATTCCTTTTTTTGTTTTTCATCGTACGTTAATTAATCATTTTTTTCATCGTATGTTTTTCTTCTTTTATATTTGTTCTTCTTTTGGAGTTTTGTGTGTTTGATTGATGTTCTTGCAGATTCACATCTATTAATACTTTTCGATCGTGGGATTTTTACAACTTTGATCGTCTTTTGGTCTTTTTCTATCGATTAGTGTTCTTTTTCAGGTAGTTCATGATAACGATGAAGATCTTGATGATGACATGCTCCGTCCATCTCCAAAAAAAATCAGTTTAATTTCTCGATACAGAGATTAGGATTGTGTTAAACACGAATCTAATCATTCTTTTTTGCAAACACTGACAAACCCCATGTTCAAATAGAGCACGACTATGATATCGGGTCTGTACTTTTGTCTTTACTTAATTCAAATCTCTTTGCCTAATTCAGTTCCAAGATTTGAATTTATCCACTATTTATCATGTAGATCAACCATTAAAAAATCATCTTGCACGTTGTGTNATTGTTCNTTA